TCGATTGGAGAAGGAAGGGAGGTAGTAAGGAAGTTCGAAAGGGAGGGAGAGTCGGAGAGGTAAAGAAGCGCAGAGACGGTGCACAGTAAGGCGGTCGATCAGGAGCAGGCGGGGAAAAAAGCCAATGGCGCGAATGGGTGGGCAGCTGGGTATCGCGTTGAAGGATACGAAGGCAAGCGGATGACAGAGGAGAATAAGAGATGGGAGGAGAGGAGAAAGAAGGAGGTGGGAAGGCAGTAGGAATGAGAGGAGAAGTAGACAAAGGAAAAAAGAGTTGTTGTGCAGGAAGGTTGATGCGGCGGGATACAGTATTGAGCGGGAGAAATTTTGGGAGAATAGAATAGATGGGTAGGCCGGAAGGGTGGTTGGTAGTTAGCAACGAAGTAGAGATGTGCATGGAGAAAGAGTATTTAAGAGAGTTGAAGCACTTACCTAGTATCTCGATTCCGAATGCCTCCTGATGAGTCCGCTGTATACGCCAGCGGCGTAACGTGTAGAGGCGAGCGCGTATGCGTTTTGTGTTGAAGGTTTTTTCGAGTTATTAAAGAGTATGAGAATCGAGTATATCGGGTGATTGTGTTGGCTCGAGGAGAGTGTATCTGTATGGTCTTCGATTGTGCTATCCTAACATGCATGTCTATTTCTCTGTCTCTCACTCTTATCTCTGTAATCGTGGTAACCGGTAGTGGTAGACACGGCGCGGTGGCTACGTGGTCTGAGGCCGATTTCGTAGGGGCGTGAACGACTTCGAAGACTGCTATTTCGGTGGGGTGGAACGGCGATGGTGAGCGTGATCGTCTCGACGCGTTCCGCATCTATGAGAGCAGGGCAGGCATGACAAGGCCAATAGGGTCGTGGTTGAGGAAAGTAATCTTTCTTGACTTGAGGATCATCTTGATTGGAATAGGGGGGTTGTCAACGCTTCGCATTTTGTGGGCAGGTAGAGGAGGAAAAACGTGGGCATTCGAAGTGCGCATCTCGGTTACGTATAGGTGGGAATAAGGGGATGACGGATAGGAATTTTAGAGAAGCAGAATTTGATAGATTATGGCAGGACGTGGAGAACTTATTGTATGATAGAGTGATTCTTATGATCTACGTGGCACTAGAATTTCGGGGAGATAGTACGAAAGAAGAGTTGACGTGTGTGCTTGAGAGATTTCTGGGAAGGTGTTATAGTATTGGGTGTTTGGTAAGGGATAGAAGGAGGAGGAGAAGGAGGCGGGGAAGGAGGGGAACTTAAAAAGGAAAGATGCAGAACCCGAAGATTCCGATGATGACGGGGTTTGGGGCTGGAGGACCTACCGCCGGGGCTAACCAGCCCAGTGTTGTATCGTGCTACCTATGCGGGAAGGTTGGACACTATGCCCAAAACTGTTGGGCCGGCGGGAATGGGAGACAGCCGGTTCATCATTCGCCGATCCAATCGGGGATGGGTGATGAGGAGACAAAGGAACTTTGGGAATATTTCCGTGAAAAGATAAAGAAGAGGAAGATCGAGGAAGAGAGGAGGGAAAGGGAAGAGGTTGAGAGGCGTCGGAGGGAGGAGGAGAATCGGAAGGAACAGGAAAGACTGAGAGGGGCGGAAGCCCGAGAGGCGAGACTAGAGGTCGTCTGATCAAACTTTTGGCGCAGCACACCAAGGGGAGTGAGAAGCCCGAGAGCTCCGGGGTGAAGAAAAAGTCACCGAAGACGAAGGCGAGGGTTCTGTGAGAGATAAGGAGCTACTTAGACGAATCAGACGATGAAAGTGAGGAGGTAAAAGAAGAGGCCGGGAAACTCGTGGAAGCGATTGAAAGGAGGAAAGGGAAAAAGAGAGTGAATGATGACGTGGGAAGGTTATCGAAGGTAAGGACGGAAAGGAGGGGACATCGGGGGGACCCGGTGCGGATAGAGGAAGAAGAAGAAGTTCGAATTCCCCCGCAAGAGAGAAGGTATGGGGAGGATCCGGGGATTCTTGACTTCGCGATTGAGCTACATAGGCATTTATCTAAGAAGAAGGTACCAAAACTTTGGAAGTTGTGCAATTGGGAGGGGATCGAGTGGTCGAAAAGAGATACGGTGATTGGTGAGCTGGTGAGGTGTAAGGCGAAACTCGCCTACGGTGAGTTCACTGAGAACGGACGGATCTCACCACTGTTTGAAAAATAGCTAGGTAGGCATGGAGAGGTTGAAGAAAGAGATGGATGATCGAGGAGAGATTTTGAAGGAGGGGAAAGGAAGGATGAGAGCGGAAGTGGGGGATCGGATTTTTCGCATTTTTCTTCTGTGCGTTATCGAAGGCTATTGTCCATGGGCGAAGAAGTGGGTGGGGATGGTGAGCAGCACCGAGAGAGAAATGTCAACCAAGAATTCCGGAGTTTACGTGCTGGTAAGTCCGTGGTGTCGTCATTTCTATATAGGATGCACACATCGAGCCGTTATTACATGTTGGTCTGACCATGTGAACCAGGTCATCCGGGGAGATCTTGGGAACTCTCCTAAGCTCCATGCATGGTTGCGAATCTTTGGGTGGAAGAAGTATCTCGTGATTCCTCTTGTAGATGGAGTTAATGATCTGCTCACAGTAGAGTCGGCAATGATAAAAAAGTTCTCACCAGCTTTGAATACTCAGGGTAAAGGGAAGGAAGTGAAGTGGGCCAGACGGGAGAAAGGGAAGAGAGAGAGGGGTAAGAGGCATTCAAACAGTTTGGGAGAAGGAATGATCAGGTTTAATGATCAAGCATCACTCATCGACTTGGTGAAAGAATTAGGAGTGAGTGGGGGGAATCAGCAGATCTCTTCGTCAGGAGGCAGGGTGTGGATTGATAGGTGGAAAGTAGTACGGGGGAAGATTGGGGAAACAACCATATGGGTCAAGGGAAAGGAAACTCAGATCAAGCTGTGCAAAGAAGTGTTGGAAGAAGGAGGATCTTTTGAAGTGGGAAAGATTGTGATCCTACCATCCGGGATTGAGCATCGGAAACGAGTACTGAAAGAAGTTCTCGACCAACCATGGAGAATAAGAAGTTTATATAAGAAAGGATCAAGAGAGTTGTTGGCATTGTTCAGGACCGGGTCGTTATTCACTGAAAAAAGGACGAGAGGTCGAATCAAGACCATCGTCGCTCGTGTGATAAGGAACAAGTATGGGAGTGAGGTAAGGAGGAGACCCTGTGTGAAGATTCCCTTTTCACCGACAGTAAAGATCAGGGCAGTCATGGAAGTCGCAGCCGGGTTGATTGTACAAGGGGGGATGGATCCTGAGATTGCGAGGTTCGTGGACGGTAGGATAAGGGTGGTAGAGAAGAAGAGACCTGCGGTAGGGATGGTGATCCACAATCAGTGGGAATGTGCTGAAGGGGAAGGGGTTGAATGTACGTGCAGAGGGTTTGACCTTTCGAGGAGTGAGGGCCACGTCAAGGTGAGGATCAACGAAGTTAAGGATGTACCAGGAGATTTGGAAGGTTGCTGTGTTGATCAGAGGGGAATTCAGACTGCGGCCATGACGACGAATGAGGTAAGAAGGGTTTTTCGGAAATATGCTGATTTGGTGGCTGTACCCATTGATCGGAATCCGGGTGCGACGTTACTGTTGTGTCTGGTGTTGTACCACCAGGCGTGCACTGAGACTTTCAACGGTAATCCGAGCTTCCGAGTGGTTCATATGTCTGAAGGGCAGATTCTCGCCAGGATGAAAGAGGAGTACCTGCGAAAAGGGCTGAACAGAATTGCGCGATGGCAAACCGGGGGGAAGGTGGGGCAAGCCTATGTTTTACCAAAAGATAAGGATTTAGGGAGGTGGAGGCCAATCTCGCCGAGTACCTCTGATCCGGCGAGATTGGCAGCCGCGAGGGTGGGGAGAGCAATCAGGTTTATGCTTTTTGGTTTACGAAGGGCGGAGCACTTTGATCTGAAGTCGCTGGACGAAGTGGGTAAGTGGTGTAAGGAAGTTCAAGGAGAAATGATGGCGAAAGGTGATGGGGTGCTTGTGCGCAGTTACGATATTAAAGATATGTTCGCACGATTATCGCATGAGAGTGTTATGGAAGCAGTGGAATGGGTTGTAAGGTATCATGAGAAGAAGGGAATGAAAGGGGTGAAGGTGAGCACGAGAGGGAAAATGTGTGCGATGATGAGAAAAGTACGGAGTGAGGACGGGTTTGTGATTCTGTTGTTCGAGGATATCAAGAAAGAAGTGGAGTTTGAGCTTTCACAATCATTTGTCCGTTGTGCGGGTACTATGCTGTCTCAAAGGTTTGGGATTCTGATGGGGAGGAACTCGAGTCCGGCTTTAGAATGTTTGGTTTGTGCAATGGCTGAGTCCGAGTTCATCAGAAGAACACAAGGGACTGGGAATGCGGTGAGAGGTATGTGAATGATAGATGACGTAGCAATCATGGTTGGTCTCGCACAAGGGGGACCTGATACGTTCCAAAGGGCGGTTCACATTATGAAGGAGTTTTAGCAATGCTATGATGAAAATCTGAAGCTTGTTCGGAAAGACGAAGGTGGGAATGCATTTGATTTTCTGGGAAATCGAGTCATTGTCGAAATGGAGCCTATAAGAATCAATGTGTTTCCCAGAACAAGGAATCAGCAATCCCTCCTGGAAGAGGGGAATCTGAGGGTGCAGTCGATACAAGATTTCGCCTCGTTCACGAGAAAGGCGTCCAAGAAGTCGATGATATACGCAGCGTTGGTCCGGATGAACAGAATCTCGAGTTCAGAACAAGCCATGAAGGCCGCAATTGCTGCACTTATGATGGAGACACGCCTCCGGGGGTACCCCCCGGAGGTAGCAAGGTTTGCTAGGATGTCCGGCGGTCCGTGGGGGGTTTATCTCCCCGCAGAGTACCCCGGGCTGGAGAGGTTTATGGCTCCGAGAGGGTTGTAATAGTAACCGATGAAGTAAAAATGGGAACTGGGGGTGGGTGGTAGATTTTGGACCAGGGAGACTCGGAATGTTTGATTTCCATGTTTTTTTTATATAGATTTTAATAGATTTTTCTATAGATTATCAGAGAGCCTTTTTTGGTTTTCCAAAGTGCAGGCATGGGCAAATGACGGGATCGCAATAGTGTCAGAGTGTGRCGGGTCGGTCACGGAAAAGAGCGGGATAGCCGAGCTAGCGCGTTAGCAGGATGATATATCTATTTTAAGTGTTACATCGCAGCCGGAGCGGATGAAGGGATGACTTTTGTGGGAGATACAAAGGCGGTGATGGCAGAGTCGCATCTGAGTTTAGAAAGATCGATTGGAGAAGGAAGGGAGGTAGTAAGGAAGTTCGAAAGGGAGGGAGAGTCGGAGAGGTAAAGAAGCGCAGAGACTGTCTCTTATACACATCTAGATGTGTATAAGAGACAGGGGAGGGAGAGTCGGAGAGGTAAAGAAGCGCAGAGACGGTGCACAGTAAGGCGGTGGATCAGGAGCAGGCGGGAAAAAAAGCCAATGGCGCGAAATATCGCGTTGAAGGATACGAAGGCAAGCGGACGACAGAGGAGAATAAGAGATGGGAGGAGAGGAGAAAGTAGGAGGTGGGAAGGCAGTAGGAATGAGAGGAGAAGTAGACAAAGGAAAAAAGAGTTGTTGTGCGGGAAGGTTGATGTGGCGGGATACATTATTGAGCGGGAGAAATTTTGGGAGAATAGAATAGATGGGTAGGCCGGAAGGGTGGTTGGTAGTTAGCAACGAAGTAGAGATGCGCATGGAGAAAGAGTATTTAAGAGAGCTGAAGGCACTTACCTAGTATCTCGATTCTGAATGCCTCCTGATGAGTCCGCTGTATACGCCAGCGATGAAAGACGTAGAGGCGAGCGCGTATGGGTTTTGTGTTGAAGGTTTTTCCGAGTTATTAAAGAGTATGAGAATCGAGTATATCGGGTGATTGTGTTGGCTCGAGGAGAGTGTATGTGTATGGTCTTCGATTGTGCTATCCTAACATGCATGTCTATTTCTTTGTCTCTCCCTCTTATCTCTTCATATGCTTGCGCATATGCTCTGCTGTTCCCAAGGACCGTGCCTTCTTGCGCGCTTGTCTATGCGAACATGAGGCCATATACATGCCTGCCTTCGTTAATCCTCTCCAGTCTTCCGCGTGCCCATCCTCGATGGCATCCAGCTCACATGGCTCACGGCGATGATCAGCAGCCTCGTCCCCGCCTTCGTCATCCCCATTATCTGGTTGTGGAGCAGCATCCTCCCCACTCGACTCGATCCGCTTCAATCTGCGCTCAGCCAACTTCGCCCGCTCAGCCTGCTCCTTCTGCTCTTCCTCGGTGGGCAGGTCATCCCAGTCAATCACATTTTGGCCCATCATGGGCATCTGCTGCAAGGTATCAAGCAGGTACATATTCCACCTGCAATACACCAATTTCTGCATTGTTTCAGGGGCCAAGCCGTTGCGCGGGCGAGTGTGGATCGCCTCGAAGAGACTCCAATTTCTCTCGCAACCCGAGGCAGATATTCCCTGGCCAAGAATGCAGATGGCATGTGGCTGCAAGTACCGTAACTCGGTACACCACCGAAGCCACCATGCTGCAGGGTTTTGCTTCCGTGTCGCTGCCATCGCCTTCTCCGTGGAAAACTTCCCAATGTTTTGCACCCAACAATCCACCTCATATTCCACCTGGTCTATCACCTCCTGCGAGCGTCCCCCCAACCACGTGTATAACCACGTGAAGAACCCGTCTTGGATCTCCGGGTCATTGTGTGGCTCATACGAGCGGCACTCCGGATCCAAGAACAATGTTGCATAATGCAGCGGGGTGGTCATCGCATTCCATCGGCGCATGATCATTTCCTCAAAGTCCTTCCGCTCATCCTTTGGCAATTTCGGATTAGCCCGCACTCTTTCCACTGCCTTGTCCATCCTCGCATATAATTTGCTGATGGTGGGTCCAGTGCCGTCCACCACCTTCAGCAGCAGGTCAATGTCAGCGGAGATAACTTTGTTGACGCCCTCCTAAAAGCCCGCTCCATCAAGGACTATCTCCTCCATCTCGTGGAATGTGTCGCGCTGCGCATGAGGTACGACGGTCGGCTCCGCCCGATGTCGTGCAACATGAGGTCCAGGCAATGCGCTGCGCACGGTACATGAAAGATGGTGGGAAATGTGTCCTCCACCAGCCTTCCCGCTCTTGCACACACGGCCGCATTGTCCATGATGACACCGACCACAACTTTCTCGCCAACCTCCTTGATTGACTGTGACAAAATGTTGAAGTACGCCTCTGATCCTTTCTCCTTTCCCGACATGCAGTGGGATTTCCAAAAAACCACATCGGTCGGAAAGGAAACCATCACATTCAAGTGTGGCCGTCCTCCCATCCAATTGGAGCATGCGGCCTGTGCGTGCCCATCTTTTATGTTGCCGCGCTACTCCCTGTGCCACACGCGCCTCGCTGAGGTCTAATCTCTTCGTTCGCTGCACATCGTACTTCGCAGGGATGAAAGACCGTTCCGCTTCGCGAACCTTCTGCAACATCCGCAAGAAGTACTGGCTGCGCACCATCGTGAATGGGACCCGATCAAACACCAACCAATCATCAATTGAGCGCTGGGCTTCCTCGTTCTTTGACACGATTGCCCCACCCTCTTCGAGCGTAGTTTGCCGCGCCCGGATGTCGGATGAACGCGTGCTGTTTGGCTGCTTTTGGGTACTTGCCTGCGGAGAGGTTTGGCTATTGCACTCGTCCTCCTCCCCCACAACCTGCTCATCCACGTCCCTCTCTTGGGAACGACATTCCTCAAATTCGTCAACATCCTCATGCGCTTGCCGCTTTCCCAAGACCAGAGCAATGGCCTCAAGTCGGCCCAACTCTCACCTCTCTTTTTCCTCCGCCGGCAGCCTACTGCTCACCTTCGCCATGTTGCATCTTGGCCCCTTCGTCGTAGACATGAAGTGCTTAGCATAGCGATTCGCAGTGCCCAGGAAGACATGTTCGCAGTACCTGCACTTCCATTTGTAGTTGCCCTTGTCTGGATCCCCCACTGGTTCGAGTTGCACGAAGTGCCGCTTAATGGCATCTGAACCTCCTTTAGGCATCCTGCATACATTGAAAACGCCCAATCAAACGACAAGGGGCCATGGGAGATCAAATCAAATGTTGTCTGAGTCTACGTCTGTCTCTCTCTCCTTGCCTTTCCGTCTCTCTCTCTCCCTCTATCAATCAATCAAGCTCATCAATCAATCAACCAATCAATCAAAAAATTGACAACATTCCCCACCCCCCATGGGGTCGAAATGAATTGCAGAAAGAAATTCGAATCATGACATGCAGTCCAATCAGAACAAAACTTTGAATAAAATATTTAACGACATTTCCCCACCCCCATGGGGTCGAAATGCAAGCTAAGAGAACTGTGGCTGAGATCAACAACACCGATCAATCAATCAATCAATCAATCAATCAATCAATCAATCAATCAATCGATCGATCAATCAATCAATCAATCAATCAATCAATCAATCAATCGATCAATCAATCAATCAATCAATCAGTCAATCAATCAATCAATCAATCAATCCATCGATACTTGTGTCAATCAATCAATCAATCAATCAATCAATCAATCAATCGATTGATCAATTGATCAATCGATCAATCAATCAATCAATCCATCGATCCTTGTGTTGAACACCAGTATTGATTGATTGATTGATTGATTGATTGATCAATCGATCGATTGATTGATTGATCGATTGGTTGATTGATTGATTGATTGATTGATTGATTGATTGATCAATCAATCAACCAATCAATAAAAAACAAGCTTTGATCTACCAACAGCAAAGGCACCACAACTGCAAACTCCCACTTCAAACTTCAAAAATTGAAAACGAAACGTAAGTTAATAAACAAACTAGCAAGGGGCGCCAAGAAAGTAGCAAGGGTGGGCGAGAAAGGAGGTGAGTACAAGTGGTAGTAGTAAGTCCGGGGGGAGGAGGACGGCGAGGTGGAAAAGTAGGAGTGAAGGTCAGATGAGGAGGAGGGAGGACGAGGACGATGGACGAATGGGGATGATGAGGAAGATGGACGACGAAGAGTGAAAAAAAGAAAAGCTGGGGGGGGGGGGGCTGTTCGTAGAGAAAGTGGACGACGAGACCAAGACGAGTAGGAGGAAGAGGACGAGGTGGAATGGGTCGACGATGTCGATGACAGAGCCAATCATCATGACATGGAGAAGAGGAGCAAGATCGAGGGAGGATGGGGGGGAAAACAAAACGAAATAGGTTAGAGCAAGTACATGGCGAGGACCAAGATGTGGAGGAGGAGGAGCAGGGGGTGGACGAAGACGTGGAGGAGGAGGACGAGCGGTACGAGGAGGATAAATAGGTGGAAGAGGGGGAGCAGGGGGAGAAGGCGGAGGAGGGGGAGGGGGAGACGAAGACGAATCTGATGATATTGACGGGGAGCACGATGAGAACGACGAACAAGATCCGAGGGGGGGAAAAAAAATAAAGGCGCCACGTGGCACTGGCAGAAGTGGGGGGCGGGAGCTTACAGCAAGTAGATAACGAGGACCAAGGCGAGGAGTTGGAGGAGGAGGAGGGGGAGAAGGACAAAGACGTGGAGGAGGAGCTGGAGGAAGATGAAGACTTCGAGGAGAAGGACGAAGCCGAGGAGGAAGAGGGGGAGGAGGGCGAAGAGGAGGACTTCGAGGAGGACGAAGACAAAGCTGATGACATTGACGGGGAGCACGAGGAGAACGACCACCAACATCCGGGAAGAAAAAAAAAAAAGGGTGCTACGTGGCACGGGCAGAAGGGGGGGGTGGGAGGTAACAGCAAGTAGATAGCGAGGACCAAGGCGAGGACGAGGAGGAGGGGGACGACGAAGAAGACGTGGAGGAGGAGTGGGAGGACGAAGAAGTTGAGGAGAAGGACGAAGCCNTCCATTTGTAGTTGCCCTTGCGCGGATCCCCCACTGGTTCGAGCTGCGCGAAGTGCCGCTTAATGGCATCTGAACCTCCTTTAGGCATCCTGCAGATATTGAAAACTGCCCAATCAAACGACAAGGGGTCATGGGAGATCAGATCAAATGTTGTCTGAGTCTACGTCTATCTTTCTCTCCTTGCGTTTCTGTCTCTCTCTCTCTCCCTTCATCAATCAATCAAGCTCATCAATCAATCAACCAATCAATCAATCAATCAATCAATCAATCAATCAAAAATTTGACAGCATTTCCTCATCCCCCATGGGGTCGAAATGAATTGCAGCAGAAGCTCGAATCATGACATGCCGTCCAATCACAACAGAACTTTGAATAAAATATTTAACAGCATTTCCCCTCCCCCATGGGGTCGAAATGCAAGCTAAGAGAATTGTGGCTGAGATCAACAACACCGATCAATCAATCAATCAATCAATCAATCGATCAATCAATCAATCAATCAATCGATTAATCAATCAATCAATCAATCAATCACTCAATCACTCAATCAATCAATCAATCAATCAATCAATCAATCRATCAATCAATCAATCAATCAATCAATCAATCAATCAATCCATCGATACTTGTGTCAATTAATCAATCAATCAATCAATCAATCAATCAATCAATCAATCTATCCATCGATCCTTGTGTTGAACACTAATATTGATTGATTGATTGATTGATTGATTGATTGATTGATCAATCAATCAACCAATCAATAAAAAACAAACTTTGATCTACCAACATCAAAGGCACCTTAACTACAAGCTGACACTTCAAACTTCAAAAATTGAAAACGAAACATAAGTTAATAAACAAACTAGCAAGGGGCGGCAAAAAAGTAGCAAGGGTGGCCGAGAAAGGAGGTGGAGTACAACTGGTAGTAGTAAGTCTGGGGGGAGGAGGACGGCGAGGTGGAAAAGTAGGAGTGAAGGTCAGATGAGAAGGAGGGAGGATAAAGACGATGGACGAATGGGGATGATGAGGAAGATGGACGACGAAGAGTGAAAAAAAAAAAAAGTTGGGTGGGGGGGGAGCTGTTCGTAGAGAAAGTGGACGACGAGACGAAGACGAGTAGGAGGAGGACAAGGTGGAATGGGCCGACGATGTCGACGACAAAGCCAATCATCATGACGTAGAGAAGAGGACCGAGATCGAGTGGGGGTGGGGGAAAAAACAAAACGAACTAACTTTAAATAAGGCACCACGTGGCACGGGCAGGACCGGGGGGGCTGGAGGTTAGAGCAAGTACATGGCGAGGACCAAAATGTGGAGGAGGACGAGGAGGGGCTGGACGAAGACGTGGAGGAGGAGGACGAGTGGTACGAGGAGGATAAATAGGTGCAAGAGGGGGAGCTGGGGAAGAAGGCGGAGGAGGGGGAGGGGGAGACGAAGACGAATCTGATGATATTGACGGGGAGCACGAGGAGAACGACGAACAAGATCCGAGGGGGGAAAAAAAAATAAAGGCGCCAAGTGGCACGGGCAGAAGTGTGGGGCGGGAGTTTACAGCAAGTAGATAACGAGGACCAACGCGAGGAGGAGTTGGAGGAGGAGGAGGGGGAGGAGGGGGAGAAGGACAAAGACGTGGAGGAGGAGCGGGAGGAAGATGAAGACGTGGAAGAGAAGGACGAAGTTGAGGAGGAAGAAGGGGATGAGGTCGAAGAGGAGGACTCTGAGGAGTACGAAGACAAAGCTGATGACATTGACGGGGAGCACGAGGAAAACGACCACCAACATCCGGGGAAAAAAAAAAAAAAGGGTGCTACGTGGCACGGGGAGAAGGGGGGCGTGGGAGGTAACAACAAGTATATAGCGAGGACCAAGGCAAGGACGAGGAGGAGGAGGATGACGAAGAAGATGTGGAGGACGAAGAAGTTGAGGAGAAGGACGAAGCCGAGGAGGAGGAGGAGGGGGAGGGGGCCAAAGAGGAGGAGGAGGAGGACGAAGACGAAGCTTACGATATTGACGGGGAGCACGAGGAGAACGATCACCAAGATCCGGGGGAAAAAAAAGAAAGGTGCCACGTGGCCCAAGCAGAAGCGGGGGGCAGGAGGTAACAGCAAGTACATGACGAGGACCAAGGCGAGGAGGTGGAGGAGGAGGAGGAGGAGGACGACGACGACGAAGACGTGGAGGAGGACGAAGATGAAGAAGACGTGGAGGAGGAGTGGGAGGACGAAGAAGTTGAGGAGAAGGACGAAGCCGAGGAGGAGGAAGAGGGGGAGGGGGGCCGAAGAGGAGGAGGAGGAGGACGAAGACGAAGCTTACGATATTGACGGGGAGCACGACGAGAATGACCACCGAGATCCGAGGGAAAAAAAAGAAAGGTGCCACGTGGCACGGGCAGAAGCGGGGGGCGGGAGGTAACAGCAAGTACATGACGAGGACCAAGGCGAGGAGGTAAACCAGGACGAGGAGGAGGAGGACGAAGACGTGGAGGAGGACGAAGACGAAGAAGACGTGGAGGAGGAGTGGGAGGACGAAGACGTTGAGGAGAAGGATGAAGCCGAGGAGGAGAGGGGGAGGGGGGCGAAGAGGAGGAGGAGGGAGGACGAAGACGAAGCTTATGACATTGACGGGGAGCACGAGGAGAACGACGACCGAGATCCAGAAAAGGAAAAAAAAAAGGCGCGCCTCGTGGCAAAGGCAGAATTAAGGGGTGGGAGGTTATACCAAGTACACGATAAGGACAAAGAAGACGAGGAGGACAAGGAGAAAGAAGACGACGAGGAGGACAAGGACGAAGTAGACGTGGAGGAAGATCGGGAGGAGGACGAAGACGTTGAGGAGGACGAGGAGAAAGATGTGGAGGAGGAGCAGGAGGAGGACAAAGACGTGGAGGAGGAGGGGGAGGACGAGGAGGACGACGAAGAAGACGTGGAGGAGGAGGAGCGGGAGGAAGACGAAGCCGTGGAGGAGGAGGCAGATGGAGGAGGAGAAAGCAGGAAGACGACCACGACGAGGACACGAGGAGGAGGAAGCGATGACAACGAGGAGGAAACAACAACAATGACGAGGAAATGACAACGACGACGAGACAACGATGACTAGGACGACGGTGTATGGTGTACGAGGAAGACCATGACGACGAAATGATAAGAGAGAGAGAGAGAGAGAGAGAGAGAGAGAGAGAGAGAGAGAGAGAGAGAGACTGACCTGCTTGCGCTGCCCTGTGCTGTGCTCCTCATGCTGCGCTTGCTGCGGCCTCTGCTAGCCGTGCTGTGCCTGCTCCACGTCTGCTCCTTGCCTGCCCTGATTCTTCCTCCCTCGGGCGATGGTGGCAGTACCGGGCGTGCATACGTTTGAATGTCGTACCGGGAGGGGGGCAGCCAAAGTCACCAACGAAGGACTTCAAAATCGAAGCCCGCTTTCACTTCCGGGCCGCCAAAACGGAGAAAGCCCATTCGAACGGGCAGAAGAACAAAAAGGGGAAAAAAACAGACAATCACAAGAGGAAAGTTCCGGCCCCTACCGGATCTCGCTCGGAGGCCTTAAAAAACGGGCCCTTATTTTAGGTGGGCGGTCCAGGTCATGAGGAAACGCCCCGGGCCGCGAAAAAAAAAAAAGGCCGTTGCCAAAAATGTTCGGAATCCGGACCGGTTCACCGGATACCGGACTCCAGACAGGCCGGATCCCGGTCCGGTAGTCCGGATTGCTGCCATGTTTTTATCATAGAGTTTATTTTCTGTATTTGATTTTTAATTAAAATTTGGTAAAGAATCTGGATGTAGTGCCCAGGCAAATGTTGTTTAGTTGATTTTTCTCCATAACATTTTTTTTTTTCGGAATTGTTTGAAAACTGTTTTTTTTTTTTTTTTTTTTGGTCCGCCTTCGGCGAAGGGCCGAACGCCTTCCGAAAGGGTCCCGTACATTCGGGCGTTCGGGTTCGGGCGTTCGGCCCGTCCCGAATGCCGGAAACCCTGTATATATATATATTATAGATATATATGATATATATATATATATAACTCGTTTGTTGTCCTCTTCTCCCTCTCTGCCTACGGTTTACCGGGCAGTTCTATTTGTGACGATATATATATTATATATATCGTCAAATAGAACTGCCCGGTAAACCGTAGGCAGAGAGGGAGAAGAGGACAACAAACGAGGGGCTGTGACAAACTGTTTCGTCGGAGTTTCACCGACTCAGCAGGAGGCTGAACCCTCAACAGTCTGCAGAATCCCCTC